AAAATTCGGGCTGTAATTTTCTCAAATCGCCAATATGAATTTGATAAAAAGGATACCATACATTAGAACAGTATTCAAATTTAGGCCTAACCAACGAACTGAACAAGGTAATAAAACAATCTACATTATTTTATTGATTAAATTAAAGGCAACACTTATTATTAGTATTACATTGGACCAACCCAGTTTGGTAGACACAAAATTTTGTAAAGTAAAAACTCGCTTGAAACATAAGGGTAGCACGCTTATTTACATTTACTTCAACATTACAGGCGTGCATTTGTTTTGTGCGCTGACTAGGTTCCGCGAATGTGGTATAGACATGTTTATAATCAACCAATTGTGAATTCCACCGTCAAAAATTAAAATAAAACCCAATGTTTTATATAATAAGCGGAAGCCGAAACAATAAAAATGTCTAGACGACCATCGGTTTTGTTTACAGTTTTTCTGTTTGACTCTCACGTATGCTATGTTACGCTTGTCGTCTTAAATTAAGAGTGCTTATACATAAACGATTTTCAGTTGCCTCTCCTAGTACAAGCCGGCGCCGTATACGTGAGTAAATTGTTTGGTTATTTTATTGATTATTACAAATCAATATTTAAAACGACCCGATTCATTTTCCCGAAAATTTGGGAATACAATAATTTTATTCCTAGTATTACACTACATCACTACATCTATCCCAACTGATATACGTGTCCTTGCAAAAATGTTGATGACGTCATCTCAATTTTTTTTGAATTCCAACTACAAAAATGTAATGAGAAAAAAAACACAATAGGCATGCAGTCGTCAAGTTTCCGACAGCGAGGGAAGTACTGTCTAAACTCTTTAGACCAATTTTTATGGTTAACTTTTAATTTGCTGTGTTCAGTACCTATATTGCGTAAATTGATTTATATCTCTCGGACGAGCTACACAGTCGTTAACGTCTTTAATGACTCTAACAATTTTCAAGTCATCATACACACTTTGTTACATCATTTATAAAAAGAGTAAATATTACTGGGCCTAGTGTGTGTCCCTGAGTGACTCCACTGGCTGTTGCAAAATGTATAGATCTGCATTCTCTCTATTCAACATATTGATTACGATCGGCAAGCAAAGACTTAAAAAGATCTGATAAGACCATTACATAAACCAAATTGACAGCTTTTCTCATAGCAAGCCAATATGTACAACATATAAAGCCTTCGAAACCGTGTTGTTAGTGAATAATTAAAGATGATGTATGACCACGAAAGGCACCGGCTAGAATACTATCAAAAATCTTAGCAAAATTGTTTACGACAGTAATAGGTCTAAAATTTGTGATTGCACAATAATTGTCTTTGGTTTTCTAAGCATTTTCCTAGTGTTTTTTCTTATTTATCATTTTAACTAATTCTTTACAATAACACTTGGGAAAAGTATACATTCTAGGTTGCATTACATATGATGCAATTATGTTATTCAGTTCATCATAGAAGTATTTATGAGCTTTATCGATATTATTTATATTATACGAGTAATACGTTAGACATATACCTAGTCAGCTTTTTACTTCCCGAGCGTAAGCAAAGGAAGTATTGCAATCGAGTCCGTCGGCCGACTCTCTACTTTTACGTTTTCTCGATCTTTCATGACCCCTAGAAGACGAAGAAATAGGTCTCCCATTTCCGTCTGTCTGTCCGTCTGTCCGTCTGTCCGTCTGTCCGTCCGTCTGTCCGTCTGTCCGTCTGTTGTCCCGGATTTTTATTAGACAGATAATCTCCGAAAGTACTCGACCGATTGTTGTGAAATTTTGTACTTATATTAAGAATATCATGTAGATGGTAAAACGCTAACCAAAATTTGTCTAATCATCCCCACCACTAATGCGATGACGTCACTTCAAAATTGTACATAGTAAATGGGTTTTCAATTGTATAAAATAACATAGTCCTACACATGTAGTTTACAACTCTGAACCGACTTTTCACCCGAAACGTCCAGATTTTTGGAAAAAAAATCAAAATTATAAAACAACATTTTGAAATTTAATTTTTAATCTGCTAACCAGAATGCTTTGAAATGTTGCAGATGTTTTAAGGCTATAAAGAGTATCATAAATCTTTAGTCAAAAAATATTTGCTTATCCCCTCCAAAAACTTGATGACGTCAGCTCAAAAGTTTGTGGAATAAATCATATCTAAAATGTACAAAATATGATGAGTCTGTACTTGTGATCTATCACTCCATTCATATTTTTTGGATTTGCATATACAGGGTGACTCAAAAAAATTAATGAATGCGTAAATATATTTTATTGATTTAATCAGGAACTACAAAACCGAATGCTCTGAAATCTTGCAGATGTTTTAAGGTCATAAAGAGCATAATAAATGTTTAGTCAAAATATATTTGCTTATCCCCTCCAAAAACTTATCTAAAATGTACAAAATATGATGAGTCTGTACTTGTGATTTATCATTCCAATCATATTTTTGGATTTGCAAATGCAGGGTGACTCAAAAAAATTAATGAAGGCGTGAATTTATTTTATCGATTTAATCAGGAATTAGAAAACCGAATGCTTTGAAATCTTGGGAATATTTTAAAGTTATTATAAGCATGGTAAACTTTTGTTCAAAATGTATTTGTTCATCCCTCCTAAAAAAATTGTGACGTCACCCTTAAATTTTGCTGAATAAATCCTATCTAAAATGCAAAAAATATGATGAGTTTGTACTTGTGATTTATCATTCCATTCATATTTTTTAGATTTTCTTAAGAGGTGGTTCAAAAAAATTAATGAAGTCAATTTATTTTATTGATTAAATTAAAGGCAACACTTATTATTAGTATTACACCCCAACCAACCCAATTTGGTAGACACAAAATTTGTTAAAGGAAAAACTCGGTTGAAACATAAGGGTAGCACGCTTATTTACATCGACTTTAACATTACAGACCTGCATTTGTTTTATGCCCTCACTTGGTTCCGCGAATGTGAAATAGACATGTTTATAATCAACCAATTGTGAATTTCACCGTCAAGAATTAAAATAAAACCCAATGTTTTATATAATAAGCGGAAGTCGAAGCAATAAAACCGATGGTCGTTTTGTTTACAGTTTCTCTGTTTGACTCTCACGTATGCTGTTACGCCTGTCATCTTAAATTAAGAATGTTTATACATACACGATTTTCAGTTGCCTCTGATACGTATACGTGAGTAAATTGTTTCGTTATTTTATTGATTATTACAAATCAATATTCAAAACGACCCAATTCATTTTCCCGAAAATTTGAGAATATAATAATTTTATTCTTAGTATTACACTACATCTATCCCAACTGATATACGTGTCCTTGCAAAAATGTTGATGACGTCATCGCAATTTTTTTTTAAATTCCCACTACAAAAATGTAATGAGAAAAAAACACAATAGGCATGCAGTCGTCAAGTTTCCGACAGCGAGGGAAGTACTGTCTAAACTCTTTAGACCAATTTTTTGAAATTGTAGAAAGAATAGTTGTCAGATTTGAAGCTAGAATGGGGAACTTGTTTAAGATAATCTATATTTGCAGTGGCTAAAGGTGTAGGATGGTGACCGTCTTCTTCCACTAGTGGATATTCGTGTTTACTAACAGAAAGCTTTAAATGTCCTGAGCATAATGTAAGATCAAGAGATCAACCATAAATATTGCACACAGTATTTACCTGATTCAAAGCGTCATACGAGCAAATTGTTATAGAGCTTGCACACAATGAGCTTGAGATGAATTAAATGAAATATATTTTGAAATAAATGACTTATTCATAAATTTTTTTGAGTCACCGTGTACGAGCAATTCTCAGAAATATGAATGCAGCCATAAATCACACTCATGATATTTTGCACATTATCGATATGATTTATTCAGCAAAATTTTGAGATGACATCATCAATGTTTTGGGCGGGTTGAACAGATATATTTTAATTAAAAATGTATAATGCTTATCATAGCTTTAAAGCATTTACAAGATTTCAAAGCAATCGGTTCTGCATATTCAAAATTAAATTGCAAAATGTTGTTTTATAATTTTGATTATTTTTTTCCTGTAGGGACAACCGTTCCCACAAAATCACGTGATCGACCTAAACCCACTGGTAATTTATATAAATCCTGTACAAATACAAATACGTCCTATCTTTCGTCTACCTGCCCTATGCTCATACTTTCTCTTGCAGTTTTTAGAATCTCTTAAACTCTTTCTTCACCTATTTCCACCTCTCCAAAAACCGAACCTACCTGTCGACCATTCAAACGCCTTTCTTTAACTTCTCCCTCGAACTCTCAAACCGTAAGCAACTAATAATAATCTGAAAACCGTAACCGTCGCTATTTCTAAAAATCACCAACGATACCCACATTCCAAATATCTTGGACATCTCGGGTAATAACTCAACACGAATTTATAAACTACATGTGAAGTACGTACCATTTACTATGTACAATTTTGAAGTGAAGTCTTCACATTGTTGGTGGAGATGATTAGCAAAGTTTGATTAGCGTTTTACCATCTACGTGATATGTGAAATGCATGTATAAAATTTGACAACAATCGGTCCGGTAGTTTCGAAGAGTATCTGTCTAATAAAAATTCGGGCAGACGGCAGGCAGGCAGACAGACGGAACCGGGATACCTAATTTTTCGTACCCTAGAGGTCATGAAAAGTAGAGAAAACGTAAAAGTAGAGAGTCTACCGATGGCTCCATTACAATACTTCCTTCGCTTAAGCTCGGAAAGTAAAAAACAGTAAAATAGAAGGCAGATCTCTCAACCAGATTTTTAATTAGACATTCATTATGTATCTATAAAAACAGATGTATAATAACTTTTGATTTTATATTATTGAATTTGGATAACATTACTTAATATAAAACAACTACAAGAAGGATAAAAGGTACACATTATTTTTATTTAAATAATACTGTCTGATTAAATAAGATAACAAAGTGTCTATTAAACATTGATTTTGTTCCAGATGGACCCGAAGTAGAAACAGAAAGATCAACTGTACACACGGGAATTGGACTCGAGGCGCAGTTAGTGTGTATAGTTCATGCTGAACCGTCCCCACAGGTAAAATTCTTCTAATATTTATTGATAACGCTATAATTCTTATGTTTTCACTCTTCACATCATTCTAAACATTTTATGTGGTTTAAATAGAATTTAAGTTAATAATTTTACCTAATATATAATAAGGACCAATTTTTGCTTTAAACTACATTGGTACATTTAACACCAAAGTGTGAAAAGGCCTCTGCCAACGTTATACTTTTAAATTTACAGGTCTTAAGCTTTAGAAAATTAAAACGTCCGTTTTAGGGCATATTTAACAATGTACATACAATTTATCAGTAATATTCTAAAATAACTTCTTCCCATTCGTAGCATAACTGACCTTGACTACCGTTGTGACAGCAAATCAGAGTTCGTTTCTCTTAATACCTTCACTGTTTATCTATCATTGCTTCGTTTTCCTCACAGAACATATAAATAAATTTTCAAATTTAGAGTCTCATTTTCATGACACCAGAAATAAAAATAATTAAATTCCCGCTTACACACGTTTAACAAGGGCATAACAGATACTAGACACTTCGCTGTCAAATTTTAAATTTTATCTATATTAACTTCCGAAATCAACCGCTAAGTATCTTTAAGAATAAACTTATGTCTTCACACAGTCCTATTTTAGAAATTCATCCATTAGAAATTGATATAAAGAAGGAATTGTTTTGAGACGTGCATCAAACTCTCTGAGAGCAGACATTAAAGGAGATTGTGGTAATTTGTTCGACAATTTTGTGGCTATGCAATTTGCTGTACACTGAGATTTACTCAATCTACACTAAACGATTGTTAACATATTTCCACGTTATCAGCTTTATAGTTGTCTAAATTAAGTTTTTTTTTTTTATTAAACAACGACATATGAAGAGAACTGGAACTGTAAAGGAGGACCAGTTTAACAATTGCTTTCTTAGTGTAGGCTTGCAACAATTGTCCTAGTTTTTCTTTGTATTGCAAATCATTTTTGCTGTTATGAACAGGATCCTATATGAACACAGCCGAGTTTATTTTAGAACGACACAGCACGAAGTGTTCTTTTCTTAAAATTTTAGCATCTGTCATGCAAATTATTTTAAAGTTTGCTACATAAATATTAAATATGGTTACTCTAAGCCAAAATTGTATCGCTATACACCTAAAGGTACGTGTCCTCTTGAGAGTATCTCTCACAAGAATACTGATTTTGATTTTATACCGTCTTTAGTGTAAATTTGCGAGTTTGCGACTCTCAATTTCAGAGTTCTATCGTTGCAATTAAATTGAGATATTATTATAGTGAAACATTTAAACGGAGTTTTCGAAGATCGTCGCACGTTGAAATATACAAACGTACACGTATTGTGGAAGTTGTTCTCGCGTCCCACGTAGATGCAGTTTTGGTTTTCCATTTGGGGGCAGACTCGAGTGCCCGAGTATGGTTATATTGTACGTACCATTGTATGTACCATTGTAGGTACCATTGTATGGGCTGATTTCGGAAGTATTTGTCTAAGTGGACATATAGTTTAACGAAACAGACAACTTCTCTATTCTCATAGCAGGATTTATTTTTTCGCTAAGTTTTTTCTTTATATAATTTAAATCCATTTGTTGCGATCCACGCTTCAGTCGTCGATTTCTTGCCGTAGAAGTCTTTAGCTAGTTGGTTTAAGAGTGTAATTTGCATAAAACAAATAAGTGGAGTTGTTGTCACATAGGGCATGTTATTCATTTATATTGTGAACAATTAGAGTCCGATTACAGTGTACCGGGGCACACCCATTTTTTTTTTGCTCTAGTGCGGACAAATTATCTTTTATTTTCACTATATAAAACCTATTGCCCAAGTAAGATTAATAGCATTAAGACTATTTTTCCACATAAAGTAACCCATCAAAAGAGTATCATTTACGTGAAGGTTACCTATGTGTATAAACATACAGTGTTCTGAGCGTGTTATTCTTTTGCTAGACTCGCCAAAATCGAAACCTTTTCGATCATTCATTGTTAATTTGATACCATTGTTTTTGCTATTCTACGCATAATATACAATTTGCATCATGCATGTGTAGGCGGACCGTTATCTTCTTACACATAGAGTAACAACATAGCTAAACGAAATTTATTTTTCCCTGCTCCTTCGAATATTTGAATCTGAAAATTTTTATGAACCTCATTACTATTACACCTCTTTTTTATGAACTACCATAAATGTTAATAACGGAAATCATTTAAGCAGTGCAAAAATTTCAGTAGAAAACATTTATAATTTACCACTATGAACTTGAAAGTACTTGACGCAAATTCAAAGCTATTCTCAAACGCTTGCTTGAATTATGTCCTAACTAAATCTGTAATGTTACACAAGGTTAATTTATTGGAATCCAGAAAGTCTAAGGTGGGGTAATACATAAATTATTTATTAATTAAATCCCATGGAATTTTAATTAGCAATCATAAATTTCACTTTGACATTTAGAATATGGATGATAAATATGAAGATTACTAATGGTTAATGTACAGAATGCAGTCGAATTTGTAGGGGGTAAATTAGAAATGTAATTTTGAAATTTAAATTTTGAAATATTTTAAACTCGCCGCTTTAAAAAAAATCTTCATTTTTACTAGTTTCCATAACAATGAGTTTCACTAAAAGTGTATCTGATCCTATTCAGTTGAAATAGTTACTTTGTTCAAAAGGAGAGAAACTAGACTTTTGCAAATATGAGTGAATATGTAATTAGAAAACTAACGATCAAAAAACACGAGTTCGAATTGCTGGGTGCCGAACATTTTTACTTCCGACGCATAAGCTACTAAATTACCTAGATAATGGCAAACGAAACGCACCGACCATTTTTGTAATTTTGCACTGTTGATGCTCTAAAGATAATAAACGTTATTTTCTATAAATGTTGAACGTCGTACTTTACAAACGACGAATACGGTTTCTTGTAAATTTTGGACGCCAAACTACTTTTAATTTAGAATTGCTTATTTATACAAGCCGACTAAAAGAAATTAATGAATAAAACCATTTATTTTAATGATCAAATCAACAAGGTACTGATGTTATTAGTATTACACTGTGCCTATTCAAATTGGCTATTTTTATGTATTCTTCACGTTTCATGACCCCTAGAATACGAAAACATAGATCTCTCGTTTAGGTCTGTCTGTCTGCCGCCTGTCGTCTGTCCACGTCTGTGTCGATTTTAATTAGACTTATAATTTTCTAAACTATCGGACCGGTTTTTGTTAAATATAGTATGTATATTAGGAATATCGTATAGATGGTAAAACACTAAACAAAATTTGTCTGATCATCCCCACCAACGATGACATGTCGTCATCTCCAACTTTTACAATAGTAAGTGATATTTAAATTTTATAAAATAACATACTCCTCCACTTTTAGTTTAGGAATCCGTGTTGAATTTTTACCCTAGTTATACAGATTTTTGTAAACAAAAAATTGATCACAAGTTATTTTGACATAAATCCCCTTGCTCTTGAGTATAGTACAACAACACTTACAAGTCAAAAGTCAAAATAAAGATGCTATGAGGTCATCAACATTTTTACAAAGACAATCAGACAACAGTGTAAAACTAATAATAATACCAGTACTATATACTCAACTTTTTGGAAAAAGAAATGAGTCATTCTTCATTTAGTTAATAAAATATTGAGTCAATTAATTTTATTGAATAAATAGAAACAGTAAAACTAAATGCTTTGAAATTTTGTACACGTTTTAAAGTTATCGTTAGAATAGTAAATTTTTATCAAAATAATCTGATTATTCGCTTCCAAAAAATTAATAACGTCATCTCAAAATTTTACCGAATAAATGCTATCGAGAATGTGAAAAATATGATGAGGCTATACTTGCGATTTATCATTGCATTCATGTTTTACTTCCCGAGCGTAAGCAAAGGAAGTATTGTAATCGAGTCCGTCGGCCGACTCTCTACTTTTACGTTTTCTCGATCTTTCATGACCCCTAGAAGACGAAGAAATTGGTCTCCCATTTCCGTCTGTCTGTCCGTCTGTCCGTCTGTCCGTCTGCCGTCCCGGATTTTTATTAGACAGATAATCTCCGAAAGTACTCGACCGATTGTTGTGAAATTTTGTACTTATATTAAGAATATCATGTAGATGGTAAAACGCTAACCAAAATTTGTCTAATCATCCCCACCACTAATGCGATGACGTCACTTCAAAATTGTACATAGTAAATGGGTTTTCAATTGTATAAAATAACATAGTCCTACACATGTAGTTTACAACTCTGAATCGACTTTTCACCCGAAACGTCCAGATTTTTGGAAAAAAATCAAAATTATAAAACAACATTTTGAAAGTTAATTTTTAATCTGCTAACCAGAATGCTTTGAAATGTTGCAGATGTTTTAAGGCTATAAAGAGCATCATAAATCTTTAGTCAAAAAATATTTGCTTATCCCCTCCAAAAACTTGAAGACGTCAGCTCAAAAGTTTGTGGAATAAATCATATCTAAAATGTACAAAATATGATGAGTCTGTACTTGTGATCTATCACCCCATTCATATTTTTTGGATTTGCATATACAGGGTGACTCAAAAAAATTAATGAATGCGTAAATATATTTTATTGATTTAATCAGGAACTACAAAACCGAATGCTCTGAAATCTTGCAGATGTTTTAAGGTTATAAAGAGCATAATAAATGTTTAGTTAAAATATATTTGCTTATCCCCTCCAAAAACTTGATGACGTCAGCTCGAAAGTTTGCCGAATAAATCATATCTAAAATGTACAAAATATGATGAGTCTGTACTTGTCATTTATCACTCCATTCATATTTTTTGGATTTGCATGTACGGAGTGACTCAAAAAAATTAATGAATGCGTAAATTTATTTTATTGATTTAATCAGGAACTACAAAACCGAATGCTTTGAAATCTTGCAGATGTTTTAAGGTTATAAAGAGCATAATAAATTTTTAGTCAAAATATATTTGGTTATCTTCTACAAAAA